ACTTTCCCACCAACACACAACAGGGTAACATGGTATACCTAGAAGGGTCCCTGGGCGTGGACCTAGTAAAGCACGAGCGGTTGTCTTCACGCCCACCCGACGCCCCAAGTAAGGAAACCTGGTTGAGCAAGTAGCTGGCATGGTGTTAAGGGGGGTGGGGGTGGGGTGGGGTATGTGTGGTGGGTGAGGGGAGGGGGAAGGGGAGGGGGAAAGGGAAGGGGGGAACAGGTCGGGTCTCTGTAAACGCGACATGTTTTGATCAGCGGTAACTTATGCTGCTCGAGGATGGTGATGATCTTAGTCAGCCTCCTCTCTCTCTCTCTCTCTCTCTCTTTCTCTCTCTCTCTCTCTCTCTCTCTCTCTCTCTCTCTCTCTCTCTCTCTCTCTCTCTCTCTCTCTCTCTCTCTCTCTCTCTCCTCTCTCCCACTTTCCCCCCTCTCTCTATCTCTCTCCCCCTCCTTTTCTTTCTCTCTCTCTCTCTTTCCCTCTCTCTCTCTTTCTCTCCCTCACCTCGATTATCCCCCGAAGCCGCTCTGGCCAGGGCGGCGTTTATGCATGACAGATGCTTGACGTGCATTGCCTCTCCCAACGCTTGTTATAAGGCGTCGAAAAGGATTCTCTCCGGCCTGGAGGCCTGTTATTTTTCGGTCTCCCTTTGTAATGGGAATGCAGAGCGATTGTCATGCGGGAACAGGAGGATTTTTTTCAGGACGAAAGGGAAAAAATGGAGGGTAAGGTTGCGTATTGTGGGGGTTGGGAGGGAGGGGAGAGGGGTGGGGTAGGGAGGGGGAGGGAGGGAAGAGGGATGGGGTAGGGAGGGAGGGGAGAAGTGTGGGGTAGGGAGGGAGGGGAGAGGGGTGGGGTAGGGAGGGGGAGGGAGGGAAGAGAAGAGGGATGGGGTAGGGAGGGAGGGGAGAAGTGTGGGGTAGGGAGGGAGGGGAGAGGGGTGGGGTAGGGAGGGAGGGGAGAGGGGTGGGGTAGGGAGGGAGGGGAGAAGTGTGGGGTAGGGAGGGAGGGGAGAGGGGTGGGGTAGGGAGGGAGGGGAGAGGGGTGGGGTAGGGAGGGAGGGGAGAAGTGTGGGGTAGGGAGGGAGGGGAGAGGGGTGGAAACGGAGGGGGGAAAGGTAGAGAGGGTTATAGCTGTTGCATCTTGGCTTGTAGGAGCATTTAGAATCCTATTCTAAATAGGTTATTGGAAGATACACTCTCACTCCCTCTTCATTGTTGATACTCAGTCCTTTTCCTCCATTCCATTCTTGTTTTTCCCATTTTTCTTTTGTCTGTCTATCTACCCCCTCCTCTCATCTCTCTCTTCTCCTTTCCTTTCCTTTCTTTTCTTCCACTCCTTTCCCCCCCTCTCCCCCTATCCTCCTCTTGCCCCCTATCCCATACACCCCCATTCCCTCTCCTCTTGCTTTCCTTTCTTCTCTCCTTTATCCCTTTTTTCCTTTCCCCCCTTCCACCCATTCCCCTGTCCTCACCCCTCCCCTCCCCTTGCCCCATCCGCATCCCCACCACATCCCCCCACCCCTTCCTCCATCCCCACCCCCCCTTCCCCCATCCGCATCCCCACCACATCCTCCCTTCCTCTAGCCCCATCCCCCGTCCCCCTTTTCCCTCATCCCTTTCCCTCCCTCCCCCCTCCCATCCCCTTCCCCTTCTGGAGTGTTGGCGCTTTTAGGTATTGTGTGTAGACTGGTTCTTGAGAGAGAAGACTCGCTCCTTATTTGTCAATGTGCTTAAACCATTTTTTTATTTTTTTAAATTATTATTGTTATTATTATTATTACTGTTATTATCATTAGTTTTGTTATTCCTGTTTATCTAATTCATTCCTTTATTGTATGTTTGTTTTTTAATATATTTTTTTTTTACACTTTATTTTTCTTATTATTATTTACGGCGTCTAGTCTGCATTTTCGTTGTCTGTTCGATTTCTTGCGTTGGGCGTTTCCGAGGCTTTGCTGATTACTGTGTGTTCTGCTTTTGTAGTTAAGGCTGATGGAGTGATGTTCGCGTGGCCCAAAAAAGATAAGAAAAATAATGATGATGATGATGATAAAAGTAATAATAATAAAAAGATAATAGTAATAATAATAATAATAATGACGAGGATGATGATAATAAATAATGATTATGGGGTAATGTTCGTGTGGCAAAAATATATGAATAAATAGATAGATCAATAAATGAGTATTAAATAAGATAATGAAGAAGCAATGTTCGTGTGGCAAGAAGATAACGTTAATGATAATGATAATAATAGTAATACTGCATATGTTTTCTTAAGTATGACTCATTATATCCGAATGTTAAGAAATTGAGACAGGGGAGAGGAGAGGAGGGAGGAGGAGAGAGAGAAAGAGAGAGAGAGAGGGGGGGGGGAGAGAGGGAGAAGAGAAAATTAGTGTGAGAGGGAGACAGTTATAAAGATGGATAAATAAATCTAGATGTCAAAAGAGACAAGAGATAAATAAGTAGATTTTGATATGAAGAAAGACATGGATACCGAGATAGAAATTGAAATATATATAGATAAAAAGCAATAAGGACGGGGATAGAAATGGAAATAGTTAGGGAAGAACGAGAGAGAAGAGATTGAACGAATGAGAGAATAAGAAAGACAGAAGAGAAAAACATTGAGAAAAACAAAAAAGCAAACAAAGATAATGGCAGAGAAAAAAAAAGAAGAAAAAGAAGAAAAGAAAGAAAAAAACATTTAAAGAGACCTAGAGACAGCCGCAACTCGACTCCAAACACACAATCGAAAAGGGGACAGGGAGACGGCCCTAGAAACCAGTAACCTTTGCGTTAGGGTTGAGAGAGTGAAAGACAAGCTCGGTAACAAGGGTGCCAGGTCTCATCCCCCTCCTCCCCCTCCCCCCTAGCCCGGTCTTTTGCACCCTCGCCGATGCGCCACACTTCGATTCAGGGAAGGAGGAAGGGAGGGGGGAGGAGGAAAGGTGGGTGGAGGGGGGGGGAAGGGGATTTAAAAAGCCTGAAGTGTTGTGAAACGGAGGAAGGGTTGAAAAAAAGAAAAAAATATATATGTATTTTATTATTCGGATTATTTTTTTGTGTGTGTTTATACGGTTTTTATTGTTATTGTTATGGTTGTTATTATCATCATCATCATCACATCATCATCATTATTATTGTTACTATTATATTATTATTATCATTGTTGTCATTATTATTATTATTATTATTAAAATAGTAGTAGTAGTAGCAGTAGTAATTGTAGCAGTAAAAGTAGTAGTAGTAGTAGTAGTGGTGGTAGTACCAGTTGTAGCAGTAGCAATAGCATTGTTATTATGAGGTTATCGTAATCATCAAGACCGCCATTATTCCGCTCTCACATTTTTCTTTTCTTTGTTATTCTACTTCTCCTCCTTTACCCTTTTATCATGGTGTCTATCCCACTTACCCTTTTGTCTTCTTTGTCTCCTGTTTATCTTTTAAGCTCCCTGCCTTTCATCCCTGCCCTATGCACTCCTTTCTTGGCGATGATCTCCCCTCGTGTTTATTACTCGTTTCTCTCGCTTCTTGTTTTGTTTTCTTTCCTCTTTCTGTCTGTCTCCGTCTGTCTGTCTGTCTCTCTCTCTCTCTCTCTCTCTCTCTCTCTCTCTCTCTCTCTCTCTCTCTCTCTCTCTCTCTCTCTCTCTCTCTCTCTCTCTCTCTCTCTCTCTCTCCCTCCTTCCTCCCTCCCTCTCCCTCGCCATTTCTCTGTCTATTTCTCGTCCTTCTTTCCCTCTTTTTTTCTACCCCACACAACTCGTCCCCCCTCCTCACCCTCGACCCCCCCCCCTCCCTGAACCCCCCTGTCCCCACCATTACGTCATCGTCTCCACCTCAGCGTTTAGCGTCGACGTCACAGTGTTAAGGGATAAAGAATCGGGCCTTAGTTAGCTGCGCAAGATCCCGGCGAAAGCACCAACTCCTTTCTTCTTCTTTATTTTCCTCTATTTTATGTTTATTATTATTATTATTATTAATATTATTAGTAGTATTCTTATCATTATTATTATCATCATTATTTTTATTGATACTTTCGTCGTTGTTGTTTTTGTTTGTAAACGAAGTCGGAAGGAGAGGGTCGAGAAGAGCGGAGGGCCGGCCATGCAGTAATGTCTGGGCGCTTGCTCGGGCCGCCTCCGGAAGGGTTGGTGAAGGTGGCCTACTTGTGTAGATTTCCTGAAGATGGTATGAGTCGTGGATGATTTTTTTTTTTTCAAGGTGTTTGCTTTCCGTCTTCTTCTCCTTTTCCTCCTCCTCCTCCTCTTCTCTTCCTCCTCTTTCTTCTTCTTCTTCTTCTTGTTCTCTTGTAAATATGAATGAATTCGTTTTCTTTTCTGTGTTGGGGCGTTTGGCATTACAGGGGAGACAAGCTTCTGCGAGCATGCTTTTAGATGTATTAGCATTTTTCTGCATTTTATGGCGCCTGGTTTTTAGAATGTTAAACCTGCGAGAATGTATGAGCGGTGTACAAGTGGTCGATGTTAAATGCTGATGCCCTTGAATGACGTGGAGACACAGGGACCTCGAGCTTGTACGCGGCGTGTGGGGCGAGGCAGTTCAGTGCGTCGTTGCTCTGAAGTCAGCTGTACGACGTGGCGTGTCAGGTGCCAGGTCGTCGCACGGGTCGTTGGTCGGCCTTTGTGCGTGGCAGCCCAGCCGCGACACTCTGGCGAGAACACGATATGGGCATTACGTGCGCCGGGGGTCGGAGGCGCTACGCTGTTTCAGTTGCGCGTTTGTCAGGCCGGAGGGACGGCAGTACACAACCTTTAAGGGATATGGAGGCGAGCCCGCCATACATTCGGTTTCGGTGAACGAGCGCGTTCGTTCCTCTCAGCTGCCGCGCCGCCGCGCACTTCTCCCTCGAGGCGAGAGTTCTGTCATGAGGTTAGTGAGGCCCCGGCGCCAGAGGAGAGCTTCTGCGGGAGATATGGTCAGCGAGGGGCCGCGGCGTGAGCCCGAGATCTGCTTTACGTCAACGCCATGGAGTGGAAAGGACTTTGGAACTACGTGGAAAACCTCATCCCGGGGAAGTCCCGCTCGCAGGAGAGTGTAGATCGGGGGGACTCGACCTCGCAGGACTCTGAAGACTCACAGGACACGCCGCCCTCCCCCTGCCGCGGCCTGGCTCGGCGCTACCCTGTCATGTCGGCGCGCAGGGGGGCAGGGGGGAAGCGAGCTTCTGACAGTGAGGAGGACGAAGAGGAATTCGAAGACTCTGAAGAAGGAAACGAAAGAGACGAGGACGACGACGAGGAGGTTAGGACTCGTGAGAAAGCAGTTACGAACGAGGATGAGGACGAGGACGAGGAAGGGGACATCGACGGCGACGGCGTCTCAAGCTCTCCTTCGGATTCGAGTGACTTCGAGGACTCGGAAGGCGTCGACACGGAAATCGAAAACAATACTGTGAGCGAGAACAGCGACAGCGGCAAAAAGGGCAGTGGGGCCTCTACGCCCGCCTCCACCTCGTCCTCCACCACATCCGCCTCCAGCTCCTCTTCCTCGTCTGTCCCCACCGCCGCTACCTATACCATATCCACACACACGGCTTCCGCGCCCATTTCTAGTTCAGTCACCACCAATCCTTCTTCCAACTCCACTGGTTCCGCTAACCTCTCCTCGTCCTCCACCTCGGGCTCCACCGAATCCACCTCCAGCTCCACCAGCAGCGGGAGCGAAGAAAACAGCGCCGACGAGGAGGGACGCGACGGCAGCGAGAGCCCAGAGTCCCCCGCTGGAAACCACAAAACTAAACTCGAAGAAAACAAAGACAATGATAAAAACGAGAAGAACAAAGAAATAAAAACGAACGGTGAAGTACCCCAACACGATCACAGTGATAGTGACGGTGACCATGAATACGACGAAACGGAAAAGACATGCAAGGACCCATCACTAGCCGGGGAGAAAGACCTATCCGTGGCTAATGAAATGGACCCATCCGTGGCTAGTGAGAAGGACCCATCCTCGGACAGTGAGAAGGACGAGGGGCAAGATGAGACGGCGGCCGAAGGAGAAGAGAACTGGGAGATGACTGAAGGCGAAGACAAGATGGAAAACCCAAAGGACGCGAAGACGAGCGTGAACGTCGCGATCTTAGCGGCAGCCAGGGAACGGAAGAAAGACGAGGCCAGGAAGGAGTGCCGGCAGGCGGACGTCAAGGGCAAGATCAGGAATCTGGAAGAACATAAAGTCGAGGCGAATGGGTCGACCGGCGGAACGACCCACGAGGACACGGAGTCGGCGGCGAATGGGAAGCTTGAGAAAACTGATCACGATGGGGTGGGAAAGAATCGGAGGAGGCGGAGAAGAAGAGGGGAGAGTAAAGAAGTAGAAGATAAAGAAGCGTCTGGAAAAGAGGTAGATGATGGGGAGAAGGTACATATAAAAGAAAGGGGCGCAGAAGAAAAAAATGCGATGGATGCCGGAAATAAAGACGGAGATGAAGAAAATGCAAAGAATAATGAAACTGAAGAATCAAATGAAGGGAAAGAGGTAGAAACTGACACGGTCAAGGAGTCTGTCACTAAAAGCACGGTCGAAGACAAGGACAAGAACGCAGGTTGTAAGAAAGTGACCTGCAGGAGAGCCGATTCGAAGAAGGGAAGAGGTAGAGGAAAACTGGATAAAGGGCGCAGTCAGTGGCTAGTCTCGACAGAGCAGGCAGAAAGAGGAGGGAGCCGAGAATACGACAGGAGGATGGAAGTAGCGACGAGCGAAAATAGCTGTGGCGAGGAGGAAGCAGCGAAGTGCGGAAAAAACGAGAGATGCGGTCAAGAGTCGCGTGCGGGGAAGACGGAGACTCCCCCAGCAGGCGAGGAGAGCCAGGCAGACTCGGGGAAGGAGAGCGCAGAACCAGACGGCGGGGAGGCTCGGCGGGAGGCGGAGGGTAATGGGAGAAGGGGAGAGCGACTGCGGAGCGAAAATTCCGATAACGACGAAGACTTTAGCGCGGAAGAGGCGAGGGCGAGGGATGAGGGCGAGGCGCAAGAAGGAGATAGTGACAGTCGCCCTGCCAGAAGGACCTACGACAGGCTCAACGCAAGGGCAAGGAGCTTCCTTGAGAAGAGGAGAGGGGAGAGGAACGCCGCCGCCGCCGCCGCTGCTGCTTCTTTCGCCTTCGAGAAGAACGGCACTGATCGAGAGTACGTCTCTCGCCGTTCCACGAGATCGCTGCAGTTCTCCGACATCGCCAAGAAGATCATGAAAGAGGTGCAGGAGAGCAGGAGCGAGTACAGGAGGCCTCAACCCAAGCCCAGGTCCTTCAGGAGGACTTGGGAGGAGAAGGCGGATGGGGCTTCCCACGTCACACACACCATCGAGGAGACCACGTCGAGAATCCTAGAGGTGTCTTCAGGGTCGAGGAGCTCGTCGCTGACGAGGAAGGAGATCCTCGTGCGACCTGCCAACGGCGACTCCGAAACTAGGATATCCGTGAGCTCTTCTCGAGACACGTACGACCCCTTCTACCACGACAGAACGACCCGTAAGTATTCCAAGTTTTCTGACAGTACAAGTAGGTTCACAAGGGCGTCCGAGGTGCCCAGGGACCCCTCAAGATCGAGGGAGGGCAGTTCCGAGACGCTCATCTCGTGCATTAAAGGCTCGAAGCTTCTGAAGGCTCAGGACGACGACTCCGCTCGCGGGAGCACGTCAGAGGGCGAAGGAGACTCCCCTAGGACGACGGAGCGCGTGAGAAAACTCTCGGTGACCTTCCAGAACGACGCAAAATCCCCTCCTCCGCCGACGTCGTCGTCCTCGTCAGAAGCTCTCCTCGAAGAACAAGGTGCTGGTGGTCGTTCTATCGTCGCATCTTCATCCGTGACCAGGGGGAACGTGGAACCTGAGCCTGGTGATCCTAAAAGCTTCGTGGCCGCGGTGGAGGAGGAGGAGGAGGAGGAGGAGAAGGAGGGGAGGGAAGTGGTGAGGGGAGGAAGAGGGGGAGGAGAAGGGGGAGGAGGAGGAGGTGGTGGTGGTGGCGGCGGTGGTGGTGGTGGTGTGAGAACGCATCAGTTGTCCGCGGTGACTGGTCGGGATAGGGTGGCGTGCGGGCCGTCTTGCAGCGCGTCGGTTGACAGGGAGCGCGGGAGGTTTGGCAGTGCAATACGAGAGAGAGTGCGTGACGGTGCGACTTCGGGATCTGTGAAAAATGTCTGTGTGGAAAATGAAAGAAACGGTGAAAGTGAAAGTGATCCGCGAGCGTGCTCCAGTGATGATTTAGAGGAAACAAATATCCAGTCTAGAATCATTTGCGTTGACGAACCACAGGACATCTGCACGTCTTCCAGAGACGCTGACGTCGTTGAACATTTAGCAGTGACTTCCGGTGACGTCACGAAACCAGTTGATGACGTCACAAACAACAACAAAAGAACACGTATTTATTCTAGAAGCAGCTTGGCTTCACATGACTCTAGGACACCGTCTTATGAAACTCTAGAAAATGCAGTGAACGAAACTAAAGGAAACCGCGAAAGTAAGACAGAAACTGAGCGAAATTGCGCGGAGGTGAAGGGAAGAGGAGAAGGAAGGAGGAGCGAGTCCCGAGCGCGCCCGAGAGAACAGGATAGACCCGTCGGCCGTAGTTCCTCCGAGGATGATGTCGATCAGGATAGCTTGGAGGGACCATGGTCGACGCCCCAGCTAGCCAAGGTCGTGCAGGAGCTGGTCGTGTCGCGGAAATTCAGCATGACGACGGCGCAGGTGAAGAAGCGGCAGCAGAACCTCGGCCGTCTCGACGTCTCCCAGAAGGATCGAACGGTGATTTTTGACAGCTCAAGGTTTCCTCGGAACGGAAGCGACAAGGACTGCGAGCACCGGCAGGAGCGAGAGGCAGGGAAGGGCGACGCACAGGAGGAAGCCAAGGGCGCGCCTAAATGGGCCGGCAGAGCTCGAAGCAACGGCCGGAACGGAGTCGCGTGGCAGCAAACAGCGAGGAAGGGAAGGCGGAGAAAGAGTGTTGAAGGAGACGGGAGCCAGTCGGAGGCGTCGACAGACAGCCATGCCCCCGGGGAAGAGAGCGCCGGCACTCAGGAAGGGCGTCGGCACTTCACTAAACACAGCTGCGTCAAAGTTAGCAAAACGGAGACCAAGAGGAGCGGCGGAGGCGGGCCCAGGGGGAAGTACTTTGCGTGGGCGAACGAAAGCAACAAGGGGGACTCGCGGGGGGCGGGGAACAAGGACGAGAATAAGGTCATGCCTTCCCCCAGGATCGAGAGGATGTGTCGCTCGCCCCAACTCCACAAAGGCCGCATGTTTAGCAGTCACAGGAGAGACTCCTCGAGTAGTCGCACGTCCCCAAGGCAGTCTCCTATAGGGTCCCGGTACCAGAGTCCCCCCGGGGCCGTCTCGCCCAGGCTAGGGTCTTCGTCTAGAGTGGGGTCACCCAGACCTGATTCGCCGAGGATAGGCTCCTCGCGCTCGGCCTCTCCGAGGAGGATGTCACCGCGGGTGTCTCCGAGGACCGGCCTGAGATCTTCACCCACGAAATTCGTGACATCACGGACGTCCCCCATCCCTGCCTCCCCAAGGATCGTGAAACCTATCGTGACGTACGGGTGCCAGAGATCACCCAGACCCACCACCTTCGACCGCCAAAGAAGTCTAAGCGTGGATAAGGTGAGGAATGGCAGAGCGCCAGAGTTCCTCCAGAAAATAAAACTGAATAAAGAAAATGCAAAAACGGCAAAAGACAGTAGTCCCCCGTCTACTTTACTCGCGGATTCCGTCGAGAAAAGAGACTCCAGCAGAAGAGAGGAAAAATCGTCAGACGTAGAGAGAGGAGAAGAGAAAGCAGTCGAGGAGGAGGAAGAGGAGGTCATGTTAAAGAAAGATGAAAAGAATTCACCGTGCAAAGGAGGTGAAGGAACACCCGAAGATGGAAGACAAAAGATTTTCCCAAGACCTAGGGAAAGGGGAGCTAAGGGAGAAGAAAACACACAAGAGGAGAGGGAAGAAAAAACACCTGATGAAGAGGAGGAGGAAAAGATAGAAGACGATAATTCTCCTGATGTGCCAGAGAGAAAGGTAAAACACCCAGGGCGAGCCGTGAGGGAAACCATGAAAGAAGGGAAAGTAATTCTCTTGCGTACAAAGGATAACCTCAACAATGCAGAGGACGACGCCACGACACCCGGTGAGGAGACACTCGGGGGCATTGCTACAGGTGAAGGTGGGGAAAAGAAGGAAAAAGAAAATGAGAAAGAGGAAAAGGGGGATAAGGCAAAAGGGAAAGATGAGAAAGAGAAGGAAAAAGAAAAGAGAGACAGAGAAAGTGAAGATGTAGAGAAGGATAAAGAAAATAGGAATGAAAAGGTGAAGGAAAAGGAGAAAGATAAGACTAATAATAATGAAGTGGACGGGGGGAAAGCCAAAGAAGCAAATGATCTTCCCATGACAGGGACACCAAAGCCCTTGAAAGCTTTACGAAGAGAGATGTCCGACTGCCGCCAGCGCCTGGAGTCCTTCGTGGAGAGCCGGGCGATGCAGGAGCAGCGTCAGCAGCGCTACATCCTCATCACCTCCAAGATGAGCGGAAAACTTGACTCTGAAATCATTCAGTTTTTCGAGTCTCAGCAGCAGAAGCCTCGAGAAATCCTCAGGAATGAGAAGGTGCTGCACGAGCACTTCCGGGCGGGCTCCAAGACCGACCTCCGGAGGGCGTCGGGATCCAGCTTCCGAAGTAAGTCGGCAAGCACGGAGGGCGACAAGTCCTCAGAGGACGCGAAGGAAGGGTCTGAAGACGACGTCACACCCGATGCAACGCACGACGTCAGCTTCTCGAGGGACATCACGCGCGAGGCCTTTCCCTTCTTGACGAAATCGGCCAAGGAATCGCGCGAAGAGGAAGGCGTTGAGGAAGATTCTGGTAGGGAACATAGTAGTCCAGGCAGTGAAGGAAAGCTGGAAGGACAGGAAAAACTGGAGGATCAGTCAAAAGTCACGGAGAAGGATGAGAATGAGGAGAGAAGTCTCCCCGTCGAGGAAGAGGCACAGGAGAGAAACATCCACTTGTATGACACAGTTGCAGACGATAAGAGTGACGACGGATCGACCGCCCTGCCCTCTCGCGACGAGACTTGCAATCACGCGAGCATTACCGATCACACCGGATCTGTGAACACAATACCTGATGATGGTAACTTGAGACCGGGCCAAGGTAACGATACCATCGCCGGAGGGGAGAACAAGGAGGAGGAGGTGGAGGAAGAAGAGGCAACGGCCGGAGGGGAATTAGATGAAGACATGAATAGAGGCGAAACAGGGAAGCGAGAGGGGAGTGTGAATGAAGATGATACTAACGAAGACGGTGGAAGCGACGAGAAGAGAGGTGAAATATTAACCGAAGCATTGAGTACGACCTCGTTGGAGACAGCAGCTTTTGAAGAGGAGGAAAGGGGTATCCTTGATGATGAGAAAATCGACGTGGAGACGCGAGTGAAGATTTGTGAGGAGACACTGATTAGCAGTAGGACTGACAATGTGCTCGTGAACGAAAGCGTGAGGGAAGAGAGGAGGTACGAGGAAGGACCGGCGAAGGTGAAGAAGGGGATAGTGAAGGAAATTATCATGCAGAAGGAGGAGGAAGCGAAAAGCAAAATTGGGGAGACGTACAAGACACAACAGGTGTTGCGGCGGGACATCTCCCCCACCGCACCCAAGGGAAAGGATGAGACACAGCAAGAGGACACAGGAACCAAGGCCGACACGGCTCCCCGAAAGCCAGACGCCGACGACCACCCCGGAGTGTCCCCGGAAGGATCAACGTCGAACAGAGACGCAGCGGCGACGAACGCGGCCGTGGGGGAGGGAGAGGATGCCAGTGTGGGATCGAAGGAAAGCCCGGCGAGGGTCAGAGGCTTTTCAAGTCGCGGCGAATCGTCGGTGAACCTCGTATCCCAAAGAACCCCTCTTGAACCTTCTGCCGAGGTGGCAGAAGGGAAAAACGAAATAAAAGACGCGCAGGCCGAGGGGACCGTGAGGAGTCCACTGCTCAGGAGAACAGTGCAGAGTAAGGAAACCCGTACAGTTGAGTTTAACTTCGTTAAGGGCAAAGGTTTAGTGAGGGAAGAAAGAGTAGTGTTTAGAGGTGCAAGGGACTTGCAGGAAGACGTGTCGGACGAAGCCTCTGTAGCTGACAAACAGACCGAAGCTTCACATCCAAAGGAAGAAACCAAAGAGGACGTCGAGAGACAAGACCCCGAAGAGCAGAGTACTGAGGAGCCAGACCAGAACGAAACACTGACGGCCGAGGACGAGCGTCATGATGATGTCACAGTCTCTGCGGAGGACAGAGGAAAGGACGTCTCCGTGGAAGTTGTTGTGACAAAGTCGGAAACTGCGTATCATGAGGCCGTCGAGGTGCCTCACGACACACAGACCAGAGAATCAGAGGAGCAAGTACCTGAGCACATGTATGCAAATATCCTTCCTCCTCCCGCGAGAGTCATCGGGGATGAGCCGAGAGAGGTCACTGCCCCGCCACGAGAGGAAGAAATGGACGACGAAAGAGAGCTTTACCGCACGACCACCGCGCGCAGGCTAATGTCAGGTCACAGGCGGTTGACCAAGACGATATCCGAAGGAAGTTTTGTCGCCGCCGATGAGGCCAGCGGGACGGAAAGAGCTCGCCCGCCTTCGATCAGGAGAAGCCGGACCGAGAGCGAATTTCTCACCGACCAGCTGGCGGCCGCGGCGACGTCGAGCGCCGAACACAAGTCCGCCGTGAGCCAGATCTTCACGCGCGGAGTATCGGGGAAGGTGAGGATGAAGAGCCGGAGTGTGGAAAACATCCGGCTCTCCAGTCTCAGCTGCGTTGAGATCACCAACCCCATCGACAGCGCGCCGCTCCCGAAGAGCAGCTCGGCCTGCCGCATTGTGGGCGTCCTCAAGAAGAAGGACTCGAGGGAGAACGTCCTCGAGCTCATGTCCCCCTCCAAGGACGATGAGCACGAAGACGAGGGCGAAGCCGAGCCACAGGATGACAGTGAAACCACGAAGGAAAATGGAAAAGAAGAAAAGGAGGAGGATCAAGCAGAAGTATTGAGTGATCTCAGACTTTCAAATAATGACAACCTTCCCATAGAGGAATCACCTGTCGAGGAAGCCATACCAATATCCCTCGTGGAAAATATCGAAGCCGAAGTTTTGGAACCGATTGAGGCAGAGGTGATTCAGCCAGTGGAAGACGTTCCGGAGGAATTCCTGGGTCAACAGGATGACGCAAAAGGTACGAAAATGTCTATAATCAGTAGTGCACCAATTGACAGTCACATTTATGAGAATGTCCCAGACGTTTTGTTCTGCAGGAGCGGAACAGCAGAGGTTCCGACACAGTTTATGGACTATGAACTAGAACATACCTCCACACCCATAGATCATTCCAGAAAGCTTGTAGCGAAAGTTGTCCACATTTACGAGAACCTTCCTCCTCCGGGGGTCTTGCTCGAAACTTCTTTTGGGGATGTAGGTAACATGGGGGAATTCCTGCCATTGCAAGATGTGTGCGTGTCCAAAGAAAATACCTACGAAGAGTGTGTTGCTAACGAGCAAAGAGAGTCGGAGCCCAAATTCATAGATCTGAAAACCGCCGAATCAAGCATTATTAGTTCGAGAATCATTGAGTCCAACACCGTCGAACCCAAAGTCACAGAACTCAGATCCGAGGCCAGGGTTCTCGAGACCTTGGAGCCTCCCATGACTCCTGTGGTGACAGGGAAGCCCCCGAAGCCCTCCTCTGACGCGTTATCAGTGCGTCGTCCGACTTACGAGAAAGCCTCGCTCAGGAGGAAGCAGCCCGAGTCGGAAAGTCGTGTCGAGAAACAGAAATCCAACTACATGCGCCAGAAAGGCGTCCGCGTCGGTATTCTGAAGAAGCAAAAGTCAGACATAACGGGGGTGAGACTGCAGAAGCTCCACTACTTCGACAGCGAGCTCCCCGGCGAGCGCAGGCGGTCCTACTCCATCGGGGGAGACCCCAGGAAGGGCTCCAAGCACGGCAAGGGGGACGGAGACAAGGAGCAGGCGTCTCACCCGTGCGAGAGCTCCCACGACCTCGATACTTCGGAGGCGTCGAGGCCTGAGATGCGCGACTTGGATAGACGGTGTCATAGTTCCATTAGTGCTAGTAGTAATACTAGTAAGAGTAGCCGCATAGATAGAATTCTTCAGAGTTGTGCACCTTGCATTTCTAGCAACACGAGCTCGATGTTAGATCTGTCTGTTAGGTCGGGAGTCCACACGATCGGCGAAGAGTCCGGCGATGAGGACGACGACACGTACAGAGGGCGTGAGGGGAGCGAGGCGTCGGCTCAGCCAGAGACGCCCACCAGGGGCCTCTCGGGCATTTTCCTCCGGTCCAGCACGAGGAGCAAATCGTCGCACAAAAATCAGTCCTCCACTTCAGAAAGTGGAAGAGCAAGTGGCACCTCCGAGGGGCATGGAGTGACACGTCTTGAACTTGTGCATGATGGAGGGGGAAAAGGAGAACTAACAGGGGGAGGAGGAAAGATAGGAGATGGAGAAAGAGAAGGGGGAGGAGGAGGAGGAGAGGGAAGAGAAGGAGGAGGAGGTGGAGGAGGAGGAGAGGGAAGAGGAGGAGGAGAGAGAAGAGGAGGAGGAGGAGGAGTAGAGAGAAAAGGAGGAGGAGGAGTAGAGAGAAGAGGAGGAGAGGTAAGAGGAGGAGGAGAGGTAAGAGGAGGAGGGGGGAAAGGAGGAGAAGGAGGGCGAGGAGAAAGCAGAGGAGAAGAAGGAAAAGAGAAGGGAGAATGGAAGGGGGGAAGAGGAGAATGCGGGAAGGGAGCCGACATAAGGGTTGAAGACATAACCGTAAAGTGTTGTCAAAAGGACGAGCCCAACACCGACAGCATGACCTCCGGGATGGATTCGGAACTGACCAAAAGTCAGGTGACGATTCCCAGCAGGACGAGTTTGATCTCGAGCCAAGGGCCTGAGGAGATGAAGGTCTACACATCCTCGGAAACGAATTCGATTGTGGAGGACGTCGTGAGAAATGGCGAGGCCGAGATGGCGGAGAAAAGCAGTCTCCACGCGAGCTTCGACGACGACGGCGGCCCGACGCCCACCCCGGAGCAGATGGGCGTCACGGCCGGGGATACAGACTTTTACAGCGAGCTGCTCGACACCATTCTTAGCGTGGTTGACGCGCAGGAGTCTCCGGATCCCGGGGACGGCGAGGGTGCATTTCTCGACACGCCCGTCATCTCGAGGGAAGTCACGCGCACAATTAAAGTAGACCAGTTTAATGGCTCCAGTGAAAGTTTCAGGTTAAAGGTAGAAGTTATAGAAACGAAGAAGAAAGAGCCCGAGGCCGCCAAAATAACAAAAGACGCAAAGCCGGAACCTGAGCCAGAACTAGAACCTGATCCGACTCCAACTCCCACAGCTAAGAGAGAGACGGAGCGCCCCAGCGACTCGGACTCGACGGCGAGTGTCGACTCTGAATTGGCGGAGGTTCGACGTCGTATCACAGAAAGGTTTCCGCCGGCGCCTCGAGATGCATCCCAGGCTAGCCAGGAGTCCATCCTAGCCTCCCCGAGCGCCGTATGCCCCATGCCCAACTGCGCCGCGTGCCGTGCCCAGAGCATCAATTTCTCACAACCTCTCGTATTTACCTTCGACGATCCCGCTCCTGCGCCCACGCCCGAGCCAGCGCGGGCGGCGAGCGTTCCGTACGTGGACCAGGCTTGCGAGGAGGCGCCTCATGAGGTCTTCAGCAGGTCTGCCAGCCTCCCGCATGACCCCGAGGGCTACCACGATGCCCAGGTCATCCGTCGGCCCGACCGTCAGCACCATCATCACTATCGTCGTCACCGCCAGTACTGGGGATCCGCCCTCAACGACATAGTGGGCGGGTCCGTCCCCGAGCAGTCGCTCCTCGGGGTGCACCCCCAGGGGGCCTCGCTCCAGGACGAGTCTTTCCTCATAGGGGCGCTTCATAGCAAGATTCTCGAAGAAGCTCGGGACCAAGACGCATTTCTTCAAGAGACTTGTCAGATCACTCCGCGGCAGAATCAAAGGTCTCAGGAAAAGCCTTCAGCGACCTCAGATCGTAAGGGATCTCCTCGAGAGGCGCTGAATTCCAACCAGGGTGGAGCTCTGGTAAACAGATCACCGCCCCAGAACCCTTCGACGAAAAAGGGTGCATCATGTACCTCCGTCCAGGATATCCGCGTGAAACCTCCCGTTCAGGAGCCGATATACGAGAACCATCCCATTCACTGGCCGGTCAAAGATGCCAGTCTAGATAATTCGTCCCTCAAGGACGCGGCCATTCACGAAGTCAAACTCCAGGATACTTCGTTTCATGACAGCACGAGCCAAGAAACAACCCTTTTAGATATCACCCTTCAAGACACCACACTCCAGGACTCCACACTTCAGGACTCCACACTTCAGGACACGACGCTCCAAGACATCGTCCTGCAGGAAGCAGTCCAACAGCAGGCCGCTGTCCAGAGCAGGCAAAGGGCGCACAGCCAGCCGGACGCCCCCCTGCTCGACGGCCCTGTCAAGGACGCGCCGGCACAGGGGGACCCGATGACGGACTCTGGGGTGGAGGGATGCAGAGGTGAGCCTGAAAGAAGGAGGGAAGGAGGCACTCCCTCCTCCCTCCTCCGCCGACGGTGACTCCTACACCTACACCCACATCCGATCCTTCGTACAGTTAGTATCCGCTTTAAAATCATGCGAAAGGACTGTTAGATGCAGCGAATCACGAATTAGGAATCCGCTTTGTAAAGAATGTCATAACGGCCAAGGAAAGCTTGGGCAGAGCTGAATGGTAGATTCAGATTAACTCCACCATTTAGGATTATTTATTTTCGCCATTGCTTTTTATAGGATGTCATGCTTTAGTGCGCTTGGCTGAACACGTGTTTTAAATTGTATTCTGCCGCCTAGACGTGCATGAATTTGCTTCTGTTGCGTTGAGCCGCACAAGTTGTATTTATTTACAGTTAATTTATGAGGTGGATTTCATACTGATGCATAAATCAGTACGACGCAGTTTACTCACAGAACGATTTCAATGTTATAAAGTATTCAATACTGATTTACCTGTATATGAACTATGCCTTGTAAACAACTACCAACGAATGGCCATCGCGTCTTGCGTTCTTAAAATCACCATTTCTCATCGTTGAAAAAACCACGTTTTCCTCCAAACAGAGGAAGGAGGAGCGTCCCAAGCCTGGCTTTATGGCGCATAAAATCTCCGCCGTGTTTGGAGTCGACCTCCGGAACCTCGGCCAACTCGGGTTCCTCGCGCTCGACACCTGATCCTCGACTTCCAGTGTTTATGTAAGGGGGTTGCCGCCGGCTGGAGGGGGAGGGGGAGGGCGACACCAGAGGGGAGGGTGAGGGGGTGAAGGAGGAGGAGGAGGAGAAGGGGGGAGAGATCGTGGGGGAGGGGGAGAGATCGTGGGGGAGGGAGACAGATCGTGGGGGAGGGGGAGAGATCGTGGGGGAGGGGGAGAGATCGTGGGGGGAGGGAGACAGATCGTGGGGGAGGGGGAGAGATCGTGGGGGAGGGAGACAGATCGTGGGGGAGGGGGAGAGATCGTGGGGGGAGGGGGGGAAAGCAAGGGGGAGGGAAGGGAAGAGGAAGGGGAGAGAGCGAAGGAAGAGGGGTCGGTAGACGGGAAGGAGGAGGGGTGACCGGAAAGGGAAGGGGAAGGACGGTGAGGGGAGAGACTAAAGGGGGGGGGGGAGCGGTCAGAGGGAAAGGGAGGGGGGAGGGGAAGAGGAAGAGAAGCAGGGAGAAGTTGTTCCTCCCCCCCCCTTACCCCCATGAATGAACGAGTCGAGCTGATGCAAGTGGTAGACGCTTTGTTTTGTTTATGCTTGCTTATTCAATCAACTTCACGACTTTTGACTCTTCCTCCCCCCCCTCCCTCGTTATAAACCTACGAAGCTACTAGCGAAAGACAACGGTTCGATAAACAGGAAAATAGCGATATCGAATTCAAAATCTCGCTAAAAGAATAGAAAGCACGACAAAGAAGAAAAAAAAGAAACAAGCCGAAAGAAAATAAATAAAAAAAGGGAAAGGACGGAATAAAAACCACACACTCACAAAACAACAACAACAACAAAATCGACTAGAAAGACGGCCTAAGGAAAAGCCTAAGACGGAGACAAGGTCGTCCAGCCTTCTTAATCTTAACTGGCACAGCCTTCCTTAGTCATCGTAAACTGTTACCTGTCGTC